CACACACACACACACACACACACACACACACACACACACACACACACCCCTATATTTTCTCATGCCCATTCTTCCCAAACTTCATCCCCCTTCTTTTTTCCACCATCTTTCCTCCTCTTATCTCTATACCCCAAACGAAATAGGAAATGGTAATATGATGAGAATCTACATAATGTATACCAGGATATCATATCACAGACCATGCCCATAAGCATCATCATTTAAGTTCTGAGAAAATAAGTCACTCTGAAGCTGGTCTCCATACCACTACTCATTCCTTAGACTCACCTCCAATATGAAAAATTACTGGGAAAACTAGAAAATGTATATACATTTATTCATTGTTCCAGTAATAGATTTTAAAAGCATGGACCATGTTACCAATGGAATTGACAGAAGCAGTTAAAGAACAAATAGCTTAAAAAGGTAATAATTAACAACTTACTGAATTTAAAGCCATTTTGGTTTTAACAGCAACAGCATCAGGCAATCTAAAGTATTTGGAGAATTCCTAATGACCTAGAAGAATAAATAAGAGGAATATAATATTTGTGTAACAGTTATTCTTCTAAAGTTATCTGATTATTTCTAACTCTGTTTTCAAAGGTAACTAACTGTAACCACTTCATTAACTTACTTAAATTTGGAAGAAAAAAACCCACCAATTGCTACTGACATCAATCCTTTTCATTCTCCTGCCCCCACCCCAACAAATACCAGAAGTTCATCTCTTCCACAGAATTTTAGAGCCAGAAGGGATCTTAAATGTCTAATCTCATCAAGTATTACATGGGGAAATTGAGATTCAAAGATATTAAGCATCTTGCTCAAAGTCACACACTAAGTTGGTTGCAGAGTTTGTGATTAGAACTAAACTCTCTACATTCCAAGGGCAGGTTTTTTCCACCTCATCAATCCTGTCTATCCATTTCTGGAGAGTTCAACCCACCCATGTTACTAAAACCATTAAAATTGTTTTTTAAAGATACATAACTAATCTGTGGAGCCAAGATAGCAGATCAGAGGCAGTCATTCAGCTGAACTCTCCCAACATGCCCCTCCAAACAACATTAAAATAATGCTTCAAATCAAATTTTCAAGAGGCATAGTCAACAAAAAATTGGGGTGAGACATTTTTATGGCATAAGAAAACTTAAGAGCTCAGCAGGAAAAGTCTGTATCACCACAGTATAGGCATGTCTGGAGCCCATTCCCACAGCAAGGGCATTAGCAGCCACAGAAGCAGTAGCTTAAGGAACTCTCAGCCCAGAAATGGTAAGGGGGTTGGAAAACCGGTCAGGAATAAATTATAGGGGATCCTTTGCTGGCCCTGGGTACATCTCATGCTGATTAGCAACTCTATTTTACATACATAGTTCTGGGTCACAATTCCAGGGTGGAGAGGAGAGTGGGTGGTGAGTCACAAGGGGGCGAGGGGCCATGGTCACAATTCCAAAGCAAAGAGGAGTGCTACTGCTTGTGGCTGCAGTGGACCAGGGGCCTTCCTGGGTAAAGACCTGAGTGCATACCTGGACAGCAGTGACCACATCTCTCCCAGGATCACATCACCTTAGAAGCATCAAAACTTACAGATCCCCCGAACTGTTCTGAAAACAGCAGCATGAAAAAGCCTGAAACTTAAAGACAGTGCCTCTCCAACCACAAGAGACCAAAGCCCAACTTTAATATAAAGTTCAAAGTCAAGAAATAGCCTGGGTGGGGAAGCTAGGTGGCACAGTGGATAGAGCTCCAGCCTTAGAATCAGCAGGACCTGAGTTCAAATCTGACCTCAGACATATGATACTCACTAGCTGTGTGACCCTGGGCAAGTCACTTAACCCCGATTGCCTAAGTAAAAAAGAATAAAAAAGAAAGAAATAGCCTGAGGAAAATGAGAAAACAACCAAAAAATGACCATAAAAAGCTACTATAGTGGCAGGGAAGACCAAGACATAAACTCAGAAGAAGACAATATGAAAACAGCTACCAAAAAAAAAGCTTCAAAGAAAAATGCTAATTGGACCCAAACTCAACAAGAAGTCCTAGAAAAGAATACACACACACACACACACATGTATATACAGAGAGAGAGAGAGAGAGAGAGAGAGAGAGAAGTGGTAGAGGAAAAACTAAGAAAAGAAATGAGAATGATGCAAGAAAATGATGAAAAGAATTAATAGCTTCATAAAACCAGCACAAAAAATATACAAGAAAATAACACTTTAAAAAACAGAATAGGTCAAATGGTTAAAAGTTGCACAAAAATCCTCTGAAAAATCCACTCAAAAAAGAAGAATTAGCCAACTGGAAAAGGCAATACAAAAATTCAATGAAGAAAATAATACCTTAAAAATTGGAGTTGGGCAAGTGGAAGTTAATAATTCCATGAAACATCAAAAAACAATGAAATAATGTCAAAAGAATAAAAAACAGAAAAATGTAATGTAAAATATCTCATTAGAAAAACAAATGACCTGGAAAACAGATCAAGGATAGATAATTTAAGAATTATTGGATTAGTTATGAGCCATGATCAAAAAAAAAAAAAGGATCTAGACAACTTATTTCAAGAAATTACCAAGGAGACCTGCCCTGATATCTTAAATCAAGAGAGTAAAATAGAAATTGGAAGAATCCAATCTCCTCCTAAAAAAGATCATCCCAAAATGAAAACTCCCAGGAATATTATAACCAAATTCCAAAGCTCCTAGATCAAAGAGAAAATATTTCAAATAGGCAGAAAGACACAATTCAAATGTTGTGGGGCCACAGTCAAGATCACAAAAGATTTAGCTACTTCTACATTAAAGGTTTGGAAAATTATGTTCCAGAGAGCAAAGGAGCTAGGATTACAACCAAGAATCACCTACTTAGCAAAACTGAGTATAATCCTTCATGGGGAAAAAAATGGATATTTAATCAAATAAAGGACTTTTAAGGGGCAGCTAGGTGTTGCAGTGGATAGTGGACTGGCCCTGAAGTCAGGAAGACCCGAGTTCAAATCCGGCCTCAGACCAAACATTTGACACTTGCCAGCTGTGTGACCCTGGGCTTAACCCCAATTGCCTAAAAACAAAAACAAACAAACAAACAAACAAAGGACTTTTAAGCATCCCTGATGCAAAGGCCGGAACTGAATAGAAAATTTAACATTCAAAAAGATGATTCAAGAGAAGCATAAAAAGGTAAACATGAAAGAATAATCATAGTTAAAAGGAGTTCAATAGACAAAGTGCATGAGAATCAGTTAATTATATTAGAATAATGTCAAAAAATAAGGCGAAGGGGTGAGAAAGAGGGATGCACTGGAAGAAGGAGAAAGGGACAGGTAGAATGGGGAAATTTTTCTCACATAAAACAGGCAAGCAAGGAAGAAGTTTTACAGTGGAGGGGAAAATGTTGGGGGTGGCAGGCAATGCCTGAACCTCACTCTCATCAAAACTGGTTCAAAGAGGGAAGAATATATACACACACTCAGTTGTATATAGAAATGTAACTTATCCAATAGGAAAACAGGAGGGGAAGGAAGTAAGAGAAAAGGGAGGACAATACAAAGGAGTGCAGATTAAGGGAGGCAGTAGTTAGACATAAAACAGACTTTTGCAGACTAACAGAATAAAAGGAGAGAAAGAAACAGAAGAAAATGGAATGGACAAAAATACACAGGAGTCCCAACTCTGAACATGAATGGGATGAGGCCACCCTAAAATGGAAACAAGTAGCAGACTGGATTAAAAACCAGAATCAAATACTATGTTGTTTACAAGGGACATAACTTGAAACAAAAGACACATACAGAATTAAAACAAAGAGCAGGAGCAAATCTACTAGGCTTGAGCTAAAGTAAAAAAGTCAGAGGTAGTAATCATGATAAAGCTAAAGCAAAAACATACCTCATTAAAAGAGGTAATCTGGGAAACTCCATTATGCTAAAAGATATCATAGACAATTATGTACAGCAAGTTTCTCTGATATAAGCCTCATTTCTCAAATATATACTGAGTATAGAACTGAGTCAATTTTACAAAAATATGAGCAATTCTCTAATTGATAAATGGCAAAGGATATAAATGTGCAGTTTTCAGAAGAAGAAATCAAAGCTATCTATAGGCATATGAAAAATGCTCTAGAAGCAGCTAGGTGGTGCAGTGGATACAACACCGGCCCTGGAGTCAGGAGGACCCAAATTCAAATCTAGGCTTAGACACTTATTAGCTGTATAACCAAGTCACTAAATCCCATTTGCCTCAAAAAAAAAAAAATGCTCTGAACAACTACTGATTAGAAAAATGCAAATAAAACAACTCTGAGAGATCCCCTCACACCTATCACAAATGACAAATGCTAGAGATGAATGAAGGGAAAATAGGTATGCTAATGAACTGCTGGTGGAGTAGTAAACTGATCTAACCATTCTGGAAAACAAAGGGCTATAAAACTGTGCAATCCCAATACTAGGTCTGTCAAAAGTTCAGAGAAAAAGGAAATTTTGTACCTATGTGCACAAAAATATTTGTAGCAGCTCTTTTTTGGATGACAAAGAACTGGAAATTAAGGGGATGTTCATCAATTGCGGAATGACTGAACAAGTTGTGGCATATGATTGTAATGGAGTATTGTGCTATAAGAAATGAGCGGAGGGAGGGGTGAAGGGGTTACAAAAAACATAGCAAGAGCTATATGAACTGAAACAAAGTGAAGTAAAAAGAACTGGGAGATCATTGTACACAATAACAGTTTGTTTATTGTTTGTCCTTTGTTCTGGAAGAGGACCATGACATCAGGGAGGTGATGCTATGACATGCAAGTAAATTGGATTTAAGTGAGGGAGGGCTGTGTAAAGTCACCAACCTCACTTTATCCTCTAGAGTCATCTGGATCTAGTGGCAAGATATAGATCAGGACAACTGGAGATGGCCCCAGATGCAGTGGAAGACCTTGGCTTTTTAAAGCTAAGGCCTTTTGCAGGTCTCAGTTTGACTGAAGCAACACCCATTCAGTGATTAAGGCTAGGTTTGAAAAAAAAAAAAAAAAGAGGCAAAGAATGGCCTCTTTAACTTTGTCAAAAAAAAAAATCAAACTGGGAGGGGAAGACTCTCAGGGTTTCTGGGTAAAACAGAAACAATTCCTATTTACATTCACTCTGAGTCAATCAGGCAGAAACAATGAAGAAGTGGAGTTTGGCCTGGGACCTATTGTTGAGCACTTAAGTGAGAGCCAGAGTGATTTGGGTCTAAGGCATGGTCCTTAAGAAAGGTATATATATATGTGTATATATATATAT